CTCAGATTCCTCCGTTTTTCAATTCCATCTTTTATAAATAGGAATGATGCCAGCAGCAGGGGGTGGGGAGCAAAGAGAATATTTATCTTGACCCCAGTAGCATTATTTAGTCCACAGAAGATCTATAATCCTTCTAAAATGATATGGAGAGCACAGGGCTCTTTCTTTGTAGTTTTATAGTTGCATCAAGTTTCCATCTACCTCTGTGGCTGCAGAAGCACATAAATCAGTTGTTCAGTCTGTCTGCAGATTTATGGCTATCTGCCATGCCCCAAACACCAGGCAAAGTGCTAGGGGGACACAAAGATGAATAAGATGTGACCCCTGCTCTCCAGGGTCCTGGCACCATAGATGAAAAGATAGAATATATACATGAAAAGATAACTAATGACTGGCACTGCCTGTTGCCGCTGAGTGATATGGTTCTGCAGGTTACGAAATTCAGAGGAGGAAGACAGATGACAGTGTGGTGAGGCGGCTGATCCTCAGGCATTTCCGGAAGCTTGCTAGGGTGAGGACGGGAAATTGCACAGCACGGAGGGGACCTGGGACACCCTTTGTATCACAGGATAAAAAATACCCAGGCATACAGCCTGGGCCACATAGCGAGACCTCGTCGCTACAAAAAATTTTAAAAATTAGCTGAGTATGGCGGTGCACACCCGTAGTGCCAGCTTCGGGAGGCTGATGCAGAAGGATCGCCGGAGTTGAGGAGGTCGAGACGGCGGGGAGCCATGACTGTATCCCTGAACTCCAACCTGAGCAACAGAGTGAGACCCTGGCTCAAAAGAAAAGAAAAAGAATATCTTCTGGGGAACCACTCTTCTGCCGCTCTTGGGCCATGAGGAAGTTGCCCCCCCGCACTCCTCTTGCTTCCTCCCAGCGTCGACCCACTGGGCTCAGACGATCCTTCCACTTCAGCCTTCCAAGTAGCCGGAACTACAGGTGCACGCTACCGTGCCCAGTTAATTTTTAAAATTTATGGTAGAGATGAGGCCTCGCCAAGTTGTCCAGGCTGATCTCAAACCCATGGGCTCAGGCAATCCTCTCACCTCAGCCTCCCAAAGTGCTGGGATTACAGGCTTGAGCCACCGCGCCCAGCCCCAAGGTAGTTTCATCTTCCTGGCTCCTTAGCCCACATTGAGCCAACCACAGTCTATCCCAGCTATTGGAAGCTAGATTTGAACTTGAGGGAATGAGCCTCTGGGGCTACAGTGGGCCACCATTTAGGGACTGAGGAGGAGGTCAGTAGAGCAGAAGGAAAGAAACCAGATGCCATTGTCACCTTGAAATGAGATCTATCCCTAGACCGCCAATAATGTGAACCAATAATACCCCCCTTTCACCGAAGCCAGGTTGAGTTGGGTTCTGTCTTTTACAACAGAAGGAGTTCCAGATGAAATCTCTGCGGATGTGATTCCGCTTAACACCTCCAAGAGTTGTGTATGGCAAAGATGACTCTATTTTATAGATCCAGTCGCTGAGAACCAGAGACCTGAACTCCCTCGGGGTCACACAGCTTCGGCTGAGGGCTTAGTCTGTGACTCCTGATCCAAAGTGCTCTTCTGCAATATCGTGATGTCTCCATGTGCAAGCTTGGCAGAATAGCCAGCCAAGCCCCATGCGCAGGCCCCTGCAAGCCAATAGGGAGGGTGTCAGGAGAATGAGGCATCACAGTGAGGTCCCAGAAGTGCCTCCAAGGCAGGGACAGATCCAGTGTGACAGATGAACCACTCTCTCTTCGACCTGATGTGGCAAGTGACTCGTGGCATCTGTCTCCTTCATGCCAATGTAAAGGTGTTAGCTCACCAGCAGAAATGATTAGCCCATCTGTAGTGTTGTATGGATGATTGGCAGAAAACAGTTACTTATCACTTACCTGCCATCACGTCCTACCAAATGCAAGTTCAACTCAGTGCTTCCCCATTTTGGAGAAAACCACACTCCAGTTTTTCTTTCCCAGTGACCTATCAATTCTATCAGCAAATACCTATTGTATGTCCATGCAGAGCGCCATACTGGTTGACTGGGAACACAAAAAGAATCAGTCAATATTTGTGAATTCAACAGTGGTTCACAGAGCCACCAGGCACAGTATGCCAGACACCTTTTGGGGTGTGGTGGACGCAGCAGTGACGGAAATGGCAGTCTATTGTCTTCGTGGCATCCATACTGTGATACAGGGATAACACATGGCAGTGGACAGTAATTGCTTTCCAGCCACTCTGTTTTTCCTAATAGTAACTCTGGTGTCTTTTGGAAAATGACCTCTCATCTTGTAGGTATCTTTTGGAGAATGACCTCTCATTCTTGGTTGGCTGTACATCCAGGGGCCCTGTGTGTTCCTAATCACAGCTACCGTTAAGCCTTGTAGAAGGCTGGGCGCGGTGGCTCCCACCTGCAATTCCAGCACTTTGGGAGGCTGAGTCAGGAGTATCACTTGAGTTTGAGACCAGCCTAGGCCACCTAGGCCACATAGGGAGATCTTGTTGCTATTAAATTTTTAAAAACTTGTAGGACACGTGCCCTCTATAGTTGCTGTTATAGCGCTCACCAGTGCCTTTGGAGAGGTATCTCCATGTTCAGAGAGAGAAGCTGAGGCCGAGTGAGAAGGACTCCGTCATGCGGGTGGTGAAAGGCAGAACCGGGATTCAGGCGGCAGGCTGTCTGCTTCCAGAGACTGCTCTGACCCACCAATCTGCAACGCCTTGCCAAGTCAGTGAGCGTGTTGCCTGGGTGTAGGAATGATCCAGCCTGGTCCGATTGTTCTTTTTCTCACAGACGTCAGGCTTAAGAGAACAGTGACGCAAAGCCAGACGACACTGTTGCAGTGGATTTCTTCTGCTGACGTCCTGAGGTCGGGACTGTGTATCTCCCGCTTGCCCATATTCCTGGAGCTTCCCTGGTTGTCCCCCCCTTGCCATCTGATTCTCCAGTGTTCATTATATTCTTCACCTTAGTAAACTCCCTTTGGACTTGAGTTAGTCAGCATCAGTTTCAGTGGCCTCTAGGAGCCCAGATAGATACAGAAATTAACACAATTACCTCCCACACACAGCAGAGATGAAAACACTTGGGGCCTCCTTGATGTGCTAAAGTTTGGGAAAGCCAAAGGAAGTCTGGGTCTGGGGGACAGTATTTGTGCAGAGAGAGAGCGAGCTTGAGAGAGGCAGGGAGATAGGATGCGAGTCAAATATGTCGGAAATCCTAGGGCATATGTTTTCACCT